TATTTCCTTTGTATAGTTTCTGAAAAAATTCATGAAAAATCTTCAATTTTTCTTTCATTATATTACAATTTTTACCTGTTCGATCTTTAATTATCCCTATTGAATTTTTTGCTCTTTTATTTTTACACATTCTAGCTAACAATTTTGAGTTTTTGTTATTAAATTCAAAAAAAGTCTCTTTAAATACATCAGATCTCTTTGAACTTTCTCTATTTCTATATTATCTAATTCCTTTCTCTTAGCCTGAATTTCTATTAATATTCTTCTATCTCTTTCTGTAAAAAATCTATTTTCTAAGTTTTTCAAATCTTCTTCTAGTTTTTTCACATGTCCCTCCTTAATTTTTTTTAAATTTACATGATTCTCTTATTGTTATTCCTCTTGTGATTGCTTTCATTGTGTCCCACAACAGGCCTGGTTTAGCACCTCCCGTTTCATTTATTGTCCATAATTCTAGCCATTCCTTCTTTATCTTTTCTATTATTTCTGGGTACTGCAGAATATTATTATTAATTCTCCACCTTTTGGAGTCTTTATAATCTTTCTTTATTTCAATCTCTATTAACATTAGTGCATGATCTGTTATTTTAATAGGGTTTATTTCAGTATCGACAATCTTAGAAATTAAATCTTGAGATGTAGATATATAATCTATTCTAGAGTAAGTATTGTGCACTACAAAAAATAAGTATATCTTTTTTCATCACCTTTCATTTCTCTCCAAATATCCTTCAAATGGTTATTTTTTATCTTTTTACTTAATATTGTGTTTCTATGATAAATATCATTCCGACCGTATGCAGTTTTGTCTTTTATCTTATCCATAACCATGTTGAAATCTCCTGCCATAATAACATAACCTTTCTTTACCTTTTCCATTTCTTTAAAAAACAAATCATAAAATTAAGTATTTGTTTAAGTATTTGTAAGAGGTTACAGCAGTTATTATGTGACTGTAGTTCTCCTTTTCTCCATACAGCGCTATAGTATGTACAGAGTGGTTAAAGTTACATCTCTGTTTCAAGGTTGGCTGCATAAGGAAGAACAGCATATTACTGCTTTCTCCACAAACTGCAGATACAGAAGGGCTGGAAACAGACTGGCTCTCTGTCTAGAGCAAGTGACCTTATTTCAAAATTGCTATTGGAAATTTAGCCAGTTACCCTTTCAAAAGCAAACTAATTTTTTTTGTAACATCACTGAAATTTGATTTGAAAATTTAAAATGTATTATATATGTATAAGTGTTGTGCACCCCCCAGTGACCCCTGTGTGTTTTGCCCCTCACCTAGGTTCACCTTCGGGCACAACTTGTTCTTTTCACTTTTATTCAGTGCCACCAGAGACCATTATCCTCACTATATCAATTATGAGTCTCACACTCTTGCTGCCAAATAAAACAAGGTTTATTTAAGGATAAATAGGTGAATCACAGAAGGAAAATCATGGATATTCTATTATCATTCATTCATTAAACATGGATTTGATTTATTCTCAAAGGCTGGTTGAGTTCATCTGAATTGGGCCCTACAGGTTACTCCAAAAATGAAATCACAAGAGCCATCAAACCAAGAAAACAACACCGAACAGAAGAAAAACAGCCACCCACTAATAAAGTATTTCTGCCATACATCAAAGGGGTCACAGACCCCATGGGGAAACTTTTGAAAAAACACAACCTACAAACAGTATTCAAGCCTACCACAAAAATACAACAAATGTTAGGGATGGCAAAGGACAGAAGGCACCCCCTCACCACTGCAGGAGTATACCAGATACCTTGCAGTTGTGGCCAGGTATATATTGGAACGACAAAACGAAGCATCCACCCAGAATCAAAGAACATGAGAGACACTGCAGACTAAAACAACCAAAAAAATCCGCAGTAGCTGAACATGTCCTAAAACAAACTGGACATGAAATTCTATTTCAAAATACTGAAGTACTGGACAACACCAGCAATCATTACATCAGAATGCACAGGGAAGCCATTGAAATCCACAAGCACCAGCAGAACTTCAACAAAAAAGAGGAAAATGTGAAGCTCAACAAAACTCGGCTCCCAGGTCTCAAAAATACAGCGTGCAAAAGGCCAACGAACTCCCCCCAGCCACAAGGACAGGGGATCCCTACACACAAAAGACCAGCTAATGACACCCATCAACCACAGTGACAGATAATCTCTTCTCCTTATCACAACAAGACACCCACAACAAGACACACTAATCACCCATCTACAGAAAAAGACAAAAGCCTATCTCACAGCCATAAATACTGCACTCCCAAGCCAACTACACCAGAGCACAGAGTGCTGTCCTCTGAAGATGCTGGCCACAAAGACTGGCGAAACGTTAGGAAGAACAACCTTCAGAACATGGCCAAAGAGCCCGAAAAACCCACAACAACCAGTGGATTTGATTACTTAGAAGTTTGCTTGTACTCATTTACTTTAATCAAGATCTCAATATTTTCTGACTGTTGATGTAACTTCTAATTCCTTTTAACTCTTTAATATTCTCTATCTAACCAACTGTCCAATATCTAGTCTGAACACTTCACAGTCTCCTCCCTAACTGTCTAAACACTCCACCATCTTTTTCCTAACTGACTCTCTGTCACACTCTAACTGCCTCTCTTGCACTCCCAGTTCCCTTGACTGCGCCCTTCCTGTCCTGTCATAGGCTCCTGCACTAGTGCTCTAAGATGACTGACAGGAGTGACGTGTGGGCTGTCCACCACAATGAGGTATAATATTCAAATTACAAGTCACTATACCAATAAATGACAGAAATACAGACAATAATCACATTTTATTGTTCTTGTTCTCACAAGCACAACCCATTGGGAAAACAACCTGTAGACAGCAGGGCATTTCTTAAAGTATATAAATCAAAAATGGAAAAACTCAAGAATGTTAGCAATTTTCTTTCTTTCTTTCTTTCTTTCTGGTGTGATTTTGTGGAGCCACATGCAAGGTTAGATGGCCCAATAAACTGAATAAGCACTACACATTCTTAGGCAATAGCCTTGATTACGGCAGAAAATAATTTAACTGTTTCTCATGTAGAAAGAGGATTCAGGTAGCAAGTGTTTGTTATGTGCTGTCAGGTTGCATCCAACTAACAGCAACTCTAAATAACTGAAATATTTAAAGAGTGATTTTACCAGAGCTAACCCTTCAGTGAGATTCTCTATGCAAGCAGGGATTCAAACTCAGATATCCTGAGCCCTAGTCTGTAATTCTCTTCACCATACCACACTGGGCAGCATAATCACACATCTGTAATTTAAGGAATCCACAACACTTTTCATATGATGCAACATGTGAGCCATAGTTAAAATTTCTAACATTTGCACATAATCAATTTCTGCATTTTTATGTGTAGGCTATCATATATACCAGTGTCACTCAAATTAAAAAGCCACAAGTCCCATGCTCATTCCAGTGCCCTTTCTTAACTCCTCCCTTGCCCCAAATTCTTTCTTTTGCACTGCATTGTGCTTACCTGCTCTCATTCTTCACCCTAGTACTCACTCAGCTTGTAACAGGGTTGTGTTTTTTTGTGACACAATCCTGTTTGTGTCACAAGATTTTGACTCCCAAAATGCCCTATTAGCCATTCAAAATGTGTGAACATGTTTCCATTTCGTACTGTTTTGGAGATCTAACCATTTGGGTGAGAGGCCTGCAACTCCCAAGAATCCTGCACCCAGCATGACCAATTGAGATATAAATCAATTATTTTATGTAGGAACTCAACAGTATCAATGCAAAATGTTTGTAGCTCTTACCATTTCCGAGACCAATAGTCTCAGCCTCTTACACATTTTCTTCTATATTTATGAGCTTATGATACAGTTTGTGAATGCTTTGATCGGCTTGTCTAAGTGCTATTATCAAAGTATATTTAAAATATCACCCATTTGAGTGTTTAAAGACACAGAGCTAGATTGCATCATAAATATATGACATCAAAAGCATTTATGAAACACCCAGAAGAAGGCAAGAAAATTAATAGACACACGGAGAAGCAGGAGCTATTGAAAAGAAAAATTAAGCACAGATAAACTTAGAACAGAAGAAAGGCGGCCAGCAACTGCTGCTCACAAGTTTTTCTACACTCCCTTGCAGCTTTCTTGCAACTAACAAACCTTGAAATAATTTCTTCTAAACATAGGAGTATTTTTTCTGAAGTCCCCCCTTTGCCCTCTAGTGGACAAAAGAAAAGTTTTCCAAATGAATTTGGATGAAGGAGTTTCTACAGCTTCTGCTGGCTCCTAATATGTGGCAAAAGTACCCCCATGTTCTCTACGATACAAGGGTATTTTCTCAGTCTCAAAATATTTTTCAAAAAAGGCTTTACTTTGGGGGAGTGGGAGTGTTGGGGTGCATCCTTGGACCCTGAGAGGATGCATGAGAGGTATCAGAATTCAAAATAATCATAACCTGATGTTCAGTAGGACTGCATAATCTGTGGGAAATTGGTTCCAAACCCAACACATGTGTATGCTGAAAAAAATTTAAACTATCAAACACAATGATAGTTTGATAGAGAGATCTCTGGCTCTCTTCAGTGGCCAGTTCTGGTATATACACCCTGGAAATACATATAAATAGGTATTTTGGGGGGTGGTGTGGGTTATTATTTAGTATTTTCAGCCAATGAATAAACAAACCAGGAGATACTTATCCTGCAAATAGGAAGTCCTATATAATCTGTAACCAGACTCAAAGATAGTATAGCATAGTTTGAAAAAAGAAAAAGTGGAAGGATAAACAAATTATTCACATGTAGCAATAATCTCAAAGTCCTTTTACCTGCAAAAGTGTATGTACTGCATGTGTCACAGGAAAAATGCCTTCTGTGATTGATAAGCAACTGGAAAATCCGACAAAGTATCCAATTTTGAAGGAATCCATAATTAAAGTAATCACAGCAAACAAAGTAATCCCACCTGGAAGAAATTTTAAAAGAAAGATCTTGTTCTAAAGGAAATAATTTAAATGTTATAGAAAATACGGAAAATTACTAATTGGAAAATTAAACACTGAAATAAGAAATAAGTAGTCCTGCCATAGCACTAGGAATTTCCTTCCCTAGTGAGTAGTTTCTATAAATGTAAAATATTTTCACTTGGGCTCCCTATTATTGATTGGGTTGCTGTATGTGGCTGATTTTAATTCTGTCATTATGACTGAGTTACCAAATACTCAAAGTCATTAATCACTCCAAACTCTTGAGATGTTTTGATGCAATAATTTTTAAAATTTTCTGTATAATTTCAGTGACATTATACTGTTAGCAAAAAGGTTGAAACAACTTAAAAACTGAAATGATATTTCATTGATTAAGGGCATATAATAATCTCTGTATTACCATGGAAACTTTGTGTTCTTTGCCCCATCCCATTCTTTATTCCTCAAAGTAATTTTCAGAAAATGTAATGCCATATTCAATGTACAGTGGTACCTCAGTTTACGAACACCTCAGTTGACATAATTTTCAGTTTATAAAGCAAAATCCATTGAAAATAAAGCCTCCGTTTATGGTGGTTTTTTTGGGGGGGGGAGTACAAAAAAGTTTCCCCACGATGCATTGTGCCTGGAGGTTTCTAGGGCCACCCCATTCCTATGAAACTCTGCGTTTCGATTTACGAATTTTTTGCATTATGTAACATCCCATAAAATGCATTAACTTCGTAAACTGAGGTATGCCTATAATATGTAATGCCATATTGTCTCCTCATTTTTCACTTAAGACGACGCAATTGGCATTTTCAGAAAATGGGTTCAGTTTTCCAAATTTGTCTATATCATAAGGTATATCCTTTGACACTTACAAACAATTGCCAAACTCATTTTGATTCAAGTAGACCTTCAAGGAAAAGTATGAACTCTATCTATTTGGCCCCAGTCTTTTCCTGGACCACTTTAGTTTCCATCCATGGAACAGGAAATAATATTTTCCTCCTATAGCAGGGTGTGTGATTTCTCACTGATTAAAATTTGATCCACATTTGTTCTTATGTGCCATTGTCACCTATCAAAAGTAAAAGTATCTAGGAAAGATAGTTTTGAATCTCAAGGAAAGGAAGACTTCCCTGGAGCCCAAAGCAATCTCTCCTCTGGATAAGGGATACTCTAGAGTTGAGCGCACTCCTTTTCTCATGCCCCGAGCAGGTTCAAAGTAGGTTAGCCAGGAAGAGGACAATGAAGTGGTGTCTCAGCCATGCTCAATAACCTCAGCCTCAGAACCAGCAATCATAGAGCTGGTTCTATGACAGATTCTCCTTGGCCAGCCATATTCCACTAAACCTGGAGAGCCATTGTTTACCACTTAAAACTAGATGGTTTGGAGGGGGTCAAAACTGTTCCCATTCTTTTTCTACAAGGCAAAGGACCTGTGCTAATGTAATGACCACATCCATTAGATGTAGTTAATGTCACATGTTGGGCAGTGGAATATGCTGAATATAACTGTGATTATAAAGAAACAGCTGTGCAATATTAAGTTTCCAGCATATTTTATTAGCAACTGCAGAAAGACACTAACAGAAAGAGAAATATTCAGTTTAGCTTCTTTGTGTGTGTTTTCAACACCTTCGTCATACTTGGTCATTTAAGAGCTGAGATAACATGCTTATATAATTCTTGCCCTCTGTATTCATTGATGCATCTCCAGTAGCTTTCCATTTATATCCCTGAGGGAAGATATACAATAGATAAAACTTGTCTGACCACCTCAACTTCCTGCATCTATACTGTCTTCCTTCAAGACTCAGGGGTGATTTGCAAAAGGAGAAAGGGGCAATAAGGAAAGTTAACCCTCCTTCACAAGTGCAACTCAGTATCCTGATATTCAAAGTGCGAATCATGGTGGGAGATCTTAATCGTGTTTTCCATATTTCTTATTTCCTCCTACTGCATGGACACCATAACCCTTCTCAGAAAGTCTTTGTCAAGATTATAATCTTCTGTTATGTTTCGCATTGAATATGACATTGCTGTATTGAACATCACTGAAAACTACAGATAAGTTACAAATAAAGCAGGAAGTAGTCAAAAAAAAGGAACAGAATAAATGGGACAGAAATGACATATACTATATTGCTATGTATATTATATTATTTAAAACAGAATGGTTAATGTTTGTTTTAATATTATTATATCTTTTAATATTATTATATCATTTTAAAAATGCTCATGTTGAAAGTTAGTGTAGAAGCTTTTAAACAGAACAACCAAAGAAACTGTATCTAATCATGGGGAAATGTTGATGAACAGCAGTGACAGACCTAATGAGACTGGTTTGAGAGTCTGGGAGTAGAAATTATTGATTTGGCAGCCACTTCCTGGGCTGAATTTCATTTTATTGATTTATTAATAAAATTTTATCTCACTTTTTCTCCAGTGAACTGAACACAATGTAAAAGGCATTCCTCCTCCATACTTTATCCTCCTAACAACCTCATGAGGTAAGTCAAGCTGTGAAAGAATGGCTGACCTAAGGTCATTCAGTGAGTTTCATGATTCACTAAGGACTGGAATCAGGGTCTTCCAAGTCACAGTCCAAGAACAGGTCTACATGGCTCTTCCAATTTTTCCTGAATCTGCAGTCACTCCTTTTTTCTTATGTGTAGATCTGGCCAGAATCACCCTGGATCTGGAGTAACTGCAGATTCAGGAAAGATTAGAAGGATGAGTGGATCTGGTCCAAAACCGTAACCAAGACAAAGAAGAGCTTTCCACTGGCTTTCATGATAGCATCTGAGACTAACTTTTTGCTTACATGACATCATGTATGTGCTATATAACTTACAACAATGTTTCACTATGAGAATAAGAAGGTAACAATAGCCATGCCTTCAGTCCCACCTTTGTGAATTTTAAAGAGAGGGAATAATTCTGAGTAATCCTTAACCTTTGCATGCCTGGAACTTCTGTTCTTCTACTCCTGCACACAACTAATTCCATAAACACTAATAAACAAAACAGAATAGTAGAAAAAAAAAGTTCATTGCTTTTTTTTACCACATCCCACCTTTGCTGCCCTGCGATATAGTTACTCTTCCTTAATCTCCAAAATAAAATTATTCCTAGAAGTTCTAATTCATTGGAGCATTCCTGTTTCAATTGGGGTTTGATATTTACATTGTATTTACATATGGGTAAATTCTTCCATCTCATTCATTTATACAGCCCAAAATGAATTTCAAGATTACATCACCATAGCACACACTTTAGCCTGTTGAGCTTAATGGTAATATCACAATAGTAGCTAGTTTTGTGATACATCCTGACTATACCCTAGTAACCATGATTCTGAGAATGCAGGAGGTTTCTTAAATAAAAGACATTGTCATGACAAAGATAACATCCACTTCCACAAGTGAAATGACTTATTGGAACACCCAATCTTTTACGGATAGTTCAGAGAACACTTTTATTCTTGAAAAATAATTTCATTGCTGTCTGCTTTGCAAAAGGGAACTGGTTGTCCTTTTCTTAAATTGGCCCTGCCCTTCTTCATTACTTTGATTTCCTCTTCCATTTCCTCTTCTCTCTTCTGATTACATGATTCAGATTTATTTCATGGATATGAAATCCAATCATATTTTGGATTTAAACATTATCACTACCTCAAGAACACTAACAGATCTGATAAAAATTCACTAAATTGTTTCAAAGAAAGAATATTCCTTGATAGTCTGGGATTCTCTACAGTGACATTGATTATCAATTGAGAAAAACTTGTATACCCTCCTACTTGCCATGGAAGCCTCAAATCTTCCAACTGGCGTTCTGCTGATAACAAGAAATAATTTTACACAAGAGGAACTAGGGCTCTTTCCCGCCTCCTGTCACCCAGTGAAGACATCCCGTTACTCCAGCTACTTTGTGAGATGTTTGGATACCGTGATGAATTTAGCGTTTCAGCCCTACAGAAATCCGCAGAATTAGCTGCCACAAAAGCATGCAATCTCAAGCGCCGGATTCTTTACCCTTCCTCTCCCCGCCCGGCCCCAACCCGTTGGCCCGCTCGCCGCCCCGTCCGGGCTGCACTCACACTTCAGCCAGCGCGCTCCGGCGTGTGTGTCCTTGTCCTGGATCAGCCTCTTCTGCGCGTAGCGGCGGCAGATGTACCAGGCCATCCAGAGGAGCTGGAGCAACATGAGGGTGATGAGGTAGGAGAAGACGGCGCTCTTGGCGATTCCCGCAGCGTGCACCGCCCAGGCGAACATCAGCAGCAGCCCTGCCAGGAAGAGGTGCAAGCCGTACTGGCTGCTCAGGATCTCGGCGTTTTTCTGGGGGTAACTCTTGCCTCCGAGGAGAGGCAACCGGCGGCTCGCGCCTCCGCCGCCACTGCGATTGGAGTGCGCCGGCGAAGGCGGGGGGACCGCCTGCGTCTTCTGCAGCTCCCAGCCGTCCGCGGCCGTTGCCTGGGCGGCAGGACTCTTCGCGGCGCGGCTCTTCCTGCCCTTCGGAGCGGCGCGGGAAGGGCCGCCGGCTTTCCCTTCTATGACCATCTTTCTGCCTGGCCCAGAAGCCCTCTTCCCCTCCCGAGGAAAGAATCCACAGGCGCGAGCACAGAATTTACAGGCGTCGCCGCCGTCTGTGTTCCCAGGCGGAGGAACGGCGCGCACGAGCAGAGGGCACTCCGCTTTTGGGCTGCAGCTTTCACAAGGGCTCCTCTCCTTTCCCCCTCCGGTGTTGTCAAGGATGATCGCCACGTCACCTTCAGCTTTCCCCTTCACTATTGATACGTCTCGTCTGGTGTATTTATGGAGTTGTGCTCTGTCCTGATGTCACTGGGTGTGCCAGATGGAATCGAATTTCAGTTACCCTCAACCTGTTAGCGGAGATGCTTTTCCCGTCTCTCATTGTTCACCTTGGTTTGAAATGAACGTTTTCGGCTCTTCGGCTGGCCGCGTGAGGAAAGCGCCCGTAGGGCATCCTGTCCCTGACTGTACTGATAGGAATTTGCGATAAGGCGACCTGTGCCCAGGGCGGGAAAGGGCCCTGAAGGCGGCCTAGCTGCAAGATTACGCGCCGTGAATTTCGGGGAAATGTGACAGAGGAGAGCGGGGGGGGGGAAGGAAGAGAGAGAACTGAAATAACGCAACAAGCATTTATTCTAGAAATTCAGGCCATTGACAGGCTCACCCGTGTTTGCCAGGAGGCTTTGGAATGCCTCAATGTCTTATGCTTAAGTGAAGAACTTGTGAAGGACCAGGACCAGCACCGATAGCCTATCCCTACAAGCCAGGAACCAGAAGCTTGAAAACAGCCTCTTCTTGTCATTTGGCAAGCAACTCGTTATTAACAACCAAAATCCTAGAGATAGCATATATGTGAAGTCATTTGTCAAAAGGAGGGAGGAGCTGCATGACCTGATCTGACCATATCAATTCACTTGCACAGTACACGCTACTGCAGGGGTGGGCAACTAATTTCTATAGGGGGGCCACATGGAAAATCTGGACTGTGTTTGGGGGCCGAACCAACTTTACTTAAAAATGAAATGAAACAGTGATGTTATGATTTTTTAAATTTTAAACTTGTTAATCTTCACAAATACTAAAGAGTTTTTTTGCGGCATGTTAAAAATAAACAACTGATCTACTTTAGATATAAAGCTATAAATGGTTTTGATGTTCAAAACTGTCCGTGGGCCGGACAGGAGTGGCTCGCAGGCCATATGTGGCCCTCGGGCCACATTTTGCCCAGGTCTGGGCTAGTGCAATAGGTTAAGCCCAACAGATTCAGCCTTTGGCAAAGGAAAGGTTTATTCCATTTCCAATAAACTGTTTTCCTGCAGCAGGATTCTGGGACATCACACTCCATCTGTAGTTGAGAATCTCAGCTCTTTACTTCATGTACATTTAGAATCATCCTAGAATAATGAAGATGGAAGGGGCCTACAAGGCCGTTGAGTCCAACCTCCTGCTCAGGGGGGATATCTGTCAGGTGGCTCTCTGAATTTCTGTTGAATGCCTCTACTGTAGAACTTACCACCTCTCCAGGTACTGCTCTAAGCAGGTGTTTCCTGATAGTCAACCATAATCTGGTTTCTTGTAACTTGAGCCCATTGTTGCATGTCCTGCACTCAGGGATGATCAAGACTAGATCATGCCCCTCCTCTGTATGACAGCCTTTCAAATATTTTAAACCTGCTATCAAATTTCCTCTTGGTCTTCCTTTCTTAAGGCTAAACATGCCCAAGTCTTTCAGACTTTCCTCACAGGGCTTGGTTTCCTGCCCCCTGATCGGGTTACCCTAGTTGGAACTCATTCCAATTTGTTTGTATCCTCCTTGAAGTGCTGACAAACAGGCCTAACCAGTGCCAAATGGAGGAGAACTAGTACTTTGAAGGATTTGGAGACTATACGTGTTAATTCAGCCTAAAATAGCATTTGCTTTTCTTGTTGCCACATCACACCCAGCTTGTGATCTACAACAACTCAAAGATCCTTCTCATGTGTAGTTTTGCTGAGCCAGGTAGCCCCCATATTTTAACTGTGTTTGGTTTCTTATTTCCTAGGTGCAGTATTTTGCACTTATCCCTGTATTTCATTCTGTTGTTTACAGCCCATTGCTCAAATCTACCTAGGTCATTTTGAATTTTGTACTAGATAGTCCACCCAATTTTGTGTCATCTGAAAATTTGATTAGCATTCCCTGTACCGCCTGATCCAGGTCATTAATAAAAATGTTGAAGAGCACAGGGACCACAACTGGAACTCCACTTGTTAACTCCTCCCAGTTTAAGGAGGAGCCATTAATCATCACCCTCTCGGTACAATTCTGTAGCCAACTGTATATCCACCAGTTGTTCTATCCAGTCCACACCTAGGTAGCTTGCCAAACAGGAAATCATTGGACACTTCGTCAAAAGCTTTGCTGAAATCAAGATATACAAGTCTACAGCATTCCCTCTATCAAGGAGGCTGTTGTTGTTGTTTAGTCATTAAGTGATGTCCGACTCTTCATGACCACATGGACCAGAGTACCCCGGGCCCTCCTGTCTTCCACTGCCTCCCAGAGTTGGGTCAAATTCATGTTGGAAGCTTCGGTGACAGTGTCCAACCATCTCATCCTCTGTTGTCCCCTTCTCCTCCTGCCTTCACGCTTTCCCAGCACCAGGGTCTTTTCCAGGGAGACTTCTGTCCTCATGAGATGGCCAAAGTGTTGGAGCCTCAGCTTCAGGATCTGTCCTTCCAGTGAGCACTCAGGGTTGATTTCCTTTAAAATGGATAGGTTTGTTCTGTTTGCAGTCCAGGGGACTCTCAAGAGTCTCCTCCAGCACCACAATTCAAAAGCATCAATTCTTTGGCGGTCAGCCTTCTTTATGATCCAGCTCTCATGTCCATACATCACCATAGCTTTGACTATGTGGACTTCTGTTAGCAAGGTGATGTCTTTGTTTTTTAAGATGCTATCTAGGATTGTCATCTCTTTCCTCCCAAGAAGCAGGTGTCTTTTAATTTCCTGGCTGCTGTCTCCATCTGCAGTGATCATGGAACCCAAGAAAGTGAAATCTGTTACTGCCTCCATATCTTCCCCTTCTATTTGCCAGGAGGTGATGCGACCACTGGCTATGATCTTAGTTTTTTTGATGTTGAGCTTCAGACTGTTTTTTGCACTCTCCTCTTTCACCCTCATTACTAGGTTCTCTAATTCCTCACTTTCTGCCATCAGAGTGGTATCATCTGCATATTGGAGGTTGTTGATATTTCTTCCGGCAATCTTAATTCCACCTTGGGATTCCTCCAGTCCAGGCCTTTCGCATGATGTATTCTGCATATAGGTTAAATAAGCCGTACTCCTTTCCCAATTTTGAACCAATTAGTTCTTCCATATCCAGTTCTAACTGTTGCTTCCTGTCCCACGTATAGGTTTCTCAGGAGATAGATAAGGTGGTCAGGCACTCCCATGTCTTTAAGGACGTGCCATAGTTTGCTGTGGTCGACACAGTCAAAGACTTTTGCATAGTCAATGAAGCAGAAGTAGATGTTTTTCTGGAACTCTCTGGCTTTCTCCATAATCCAACTCATGTTAGCAATTTGGTCTCTAGTTCCTCTGCCCCTTCAAAATCCAGCTTGTACTTCTGGGAGTTCTCGGTCCACATATTGCTGAAGCCTACCTTGGAGGATTTTGAGCATAACCTTGCTAGCATGTGAAATGAGTGCAATTGTACGGTAGTTGGAGCATTCATACGAATATTTTAAAACCATATTTTAATAGGAAAAACCTGATATTGTATTCTGTGAAAGAAACTGAAGAAGACCAGGATTTATAGTGCTGGGAGAGATCTAGTACTCCTACATATAATTCAGAAGGGTTAACCTGGATGCTTCATTGTTCCCAGTACAAAGAGAGGAAGTATCTAAGGTGTTGAATGTTTAGAATTGTGTTTTCAAATCTACCATGGAGAGCTGAAGGGGTTCAACATAGTATAAATACCAGAGATGCAAAACCTATTGTCATGGCAGACTACAGTGGTGCCCCACTAGACGCTTACCCTGATAGACGATGAAATCGCTTCATGATGAGTATTTTGTGATCGCAAAATGGTGTTTAGATGGGGACAATCCGCTTGATGACGATCGGTTCCCTGCTTCAGGAACCAATTTTTTTGCTTTACGAGGATTGAAACAGCTGATCGTCAGGTTTCAAAATGTGCACCCACTGTTTCAAAATGGCTCCCCGCTGTGTTTCCTCGCTTTACAGGGACCGGAAAATGGCTGTCCTATGGAGGATCTTTGCTTTACGATGAGGTATTTCACCCATTGGAATGCACTGAGCGGTTTTCAATGCATTTCAATTGGCTTTTTACTTTTGCTTGACGACGATTTCGTTCTACAGCGATTTTGCTGGAACGGATTATCGGCGTCAAGTGGGGCACCACTGTACTTGCCAAACACATCAATGTGCAAAACTATGCTTTTACAAACAACTAGAGTGATGGGGGGGAAAGAGGAATAATCTACACACAATGATAGGAAGCCAAATTACTTTGGTCATGCTACAGTCCCAATTCACGGGGGGGGGGGGCTGCACCTGCTATCTGCAATAGGAGGATATTCCATTTGCTTCAATAAGAACTGTTCCCCCCCTTTTGTAAATATCAGTTGTAACAGATTGTGGTGATATCCTCTGAAGCCCCTATTCCCCCAGGCCTTCACAAGGTTCTCGCTCTTCTTCCTTCTTCGCTGCCACCAGGTATTGCTGTCTCAATACCATTCACTCAAGGAGACATGTGTACTTTTGAAACTTAACTCATTTATTTGATCAGGGATGTTAACATCTGATTAATATACAGTAGGTAAATCACAGGTTGCTAATCACTTGAATCTGAATCAGTTTTACTTTAACTTTAAAGCTGTATCAACTCTCAGTTCACTCTTAAGTTTCACACAGTCTCTCACTCACAGAATCTCTCTCACTCACAGAATCTCTCTCACTCACAGGATCTTACAGAATCTCCATCCACCAGCCTTTATATCCAGCCCCCTCCCCCCTTGGCACCGCCTTCCATCCACTCATTGGCTCCTTCTCCACTGCTCAGCTGTGACGGACAGGTGAGGGCAGGGCTGTTCACTACACAGATATACAAGAGGTACTAACTGTGCTGAGAGAAAAATGGTGAAATATTTTTAGTGCATAACATGTTTCTTTGTAGTGGCCTCTGTGAATGCACACAAATGGGTTTATCCTGCACCTGCGCAGGATGTTTGGAAGATTCTAGAGCTTGGGGGAAAAGAGTCAATTAGTTCCCCCCCCCCCATACGGTATGAGCTCTGCCTCCTCAACCTTCCTTTCAGTTTCCTCTTTTCCACCTTTTGAGTAGGATGTTAGGAAACCTCCCTTGTTTTTTTTCCAACAATAGAACCTCCAGCTTACACCTTTTCTGTCTATCATTGTATCCTCCCTCCTTTCCCTCAACTGTTCCCTTTTTTCTTTTCCTTTTGTTTTATGGCCCCTCGGGGATTCAAGAAATGCCCCGTTTGTCTTCAACAAATTCCACTCACAGACGGGCACGATCTTTGTCCTTTTTTTGTTTTGGGTAAACCCCATCTCACCCAGTTGTGCACCGCGTGCAGGAGTTTTTTCAGGCAGGCTACTAAGCTGGAACTACAACGACTCAAATCTTTTCTTTACAAAAAAACTCTCAACCCTGCTATGGAGGCTACAGACCTCCCTTCCTCTAACCTTCCTCACCAGGAGGCTGCTAAATCGACTACTAGCCCTGCTGCCCAGTCTCTATCCAGCACGACTTCTTTACCTGTGAAATCCAAGAACTTTAAAAAAACACCTAAGCTGGCTTCTTCCAAGGCTCAGCCTACTGATCCTGCAAATAAGAAAAAGGATAAGGAAAAGCCTAAGAGGCAAAAGGACTTAGCCAAGCCGGCTATCACTCCTCTTGCTATACCTCCTATACAGTGGGGTCTTGACTTAAGAACGGCTCGAGTTAAGAACATGTTGACTTAAG